CCCCAAAACCCCAAAACCCCAAAACCCCAAAACCCCTAAAATTATTAAATTAATTGAGCCGTAAACACTACAATGAGTATCTTTCATAACCTAAATATCAGAATTGGCTCTTTCAGCCAGACTTGGCTGGGAGCATTCTCTCTGAGATTTGAAAGCTCTCCATTTGGGTTTTTAGACACAGAAAATTATCAAATAATTTTAGGAAAATTAGGCAAGAGGTAGGCAAGCAGAGGCTAGCCTCTGCTGAGTCCTAGCCCTATGAAATAATTGTATATTTCCAAAAATTCTCATTTTAGTATGATATAATTAGAAAGCTCAGCAATAAAGCTAGAGCTCTATCGGGACCTCCCCGATATAGGTAATAACTTCATTGTTGTGCTTCAGGTTATAACAACTTTTATGAGAGTCATTGTCTGAAGTATTCCAGTGCTCCATATCATTATTAAGGGCTTCGATGTTGGGGTAAACTGTCTTCAGAATAGTGCCGCTGGACTTGTCAACTTTCTGGGTGACGAACATCCGCTCTTTTCTGAGTTTTTCCTGGAGTTCTTCTTGGTGCTTCTTCTTGAACTCGTCCACTTGATCAGCTGATACAAACCTCCCTTTAATCCTGAAGCGGGTCTCTGCAACTTTCTTACGGCTCTGATAGTTGATCTTCTTGCTCCACTTCCTTCTTCTTTTATTTTTCAAGGTATCGGTTTACCTTAATGGATCTTTCTTCGATGCTAAGGAGGCCGACATGGGAGCTAGTCCGGCTTCCCTCCTTGCTGCTTGAGAGATCATCTTCATATAACTTTGTTTTCTCTATACAGAGATTAATAAGCATGCTAGTCCAACTACGACCTTGGGTGTCCCTGGTTTTTAAATTTTGAAAAATATGTAATTTTAGGTTAATTTTGATCAAAATTTCAAATTTTTGATCTTTCTAATAAGTATTTTGAGAGCGATGAAAATTACATTGGAGTTTCAAAATATTTTTTTCGATTTATATGTGAGGATTTGTTCCATGAATCAAAATAATTTTATAAGGAATCTCGCAAGAATGTTATGAGGCACGACATAACTGACATATGCCCTACCTGGTGATGGTTGTCAGGTCTAGAATTACAGTCATAAATGGCAAAATTTGTGATTATAAAACTCTCATGGTGTTGTTATGAGATGATTACTCTTTCCTATTCAAAAATATATGGGACGAAAATTTTTCACCTTAAAATTGCCAAGAGGAAGGGATTATGCTATCTCTAGCAAGTAGACATTTTGTATCTCTCTATTTCAGCTTTTTTATTAGCAAATTCTAAGCCTAGCAAGCTAAGAGAGACTCTTTTGAAAGATTTCTCTATTGATATTTTCTCCATGATTATTTAAACATGGATACTTTCTAGAAGAATGCTATTCGATCAAAAAAGACAAATGAAGCCTCAAACTATCTTGAGGTTATCCTCAATGCACAAGGCGTAGCATTAAACCGAGAGAGGGCAAGTGCAACCATTCCTGTTGAGAGTCTACATCACTCGTTTTGCAAATTGTGGTGACAAGATCAAAATTTTTATTCTATTCTTATTTTTAAGGAAGCAGTAAGAAATTAGCCACATTATCTCTTTTAAAGGCGGATTTATTAGCATTTTGGATTATTTATGCATAGCTAAGAGCAGTAGTCTAACAATTCTTACCTTTCAGAGCTCTTTTCTTTCCACAACATTGGAATTTATCCAAATTCTGAGCGATTTCCTATACAATGAACAAGATTAAAATATGTAAAGCATCGTTAGATTTTAGCTAAAAATGGAGATTTAATTCAAATAATTCTCCTAATATTTCAAAAGGATGTCAAAGATTGTAAAAATAAGCAAATTTAGACTTACTTTTCGAGTTTGGCACTGGTCTCAGTGACCAATCACTTCTTTGAGAGAGTATTTTGATCCGGGTAACTTATTTACTACTATGAATACTTCTTTACTACTTCTTCTCTCTATATTGTCGAAGGTTAGAAGGTAACACTGAAAAATCTCAGGAGAAAGAACAAGGAGAAAACAAGAGGTATCTGTATAAGCATTCTGAAAAGATTAAACATGGAGACATTTTTTGATATAGTTTGTTCTCTACCAAATAATGTATTCTATGCCACTACTCCTTTAGTGGTGATATTAGGTTGACATTAAGCTAAATCTCTCAACTAAAAGCTAAAAAAACTAGCATTCATGATTAGATTCTAAATTTGAAGCTTGGAGAGCATAGATTTGTCAAATTTTAGCTAAGTAGTTGACCAACAATTTGTACATACCATCCTCTTCCTCTTCTTCAAAGAGAGAGCGAGGTTGTCGCTGGATGAAATCATCTTCTCTGAGAAGATGTATGCCATCATATTCATCACCACCTTCCTTCGGAAGATGATGATCCATGAATTTGCTGAGTTCATCTCCATTGGAAAGAACTTGATCGAAATAGGAGATCTCGTTTTCATCAAAATTAATTAATTTTTGATCTCTAGGAACGTGTTCTTCATCACACGAAGAATCCTCAAGTTCAGCATCAATGTAACAGCTCCTCTGAAGATTTCCAACTCCAGCGCTAGCTGGAAGAGGACAACCCTCTTCAACAAGCTGAGTTGGTGTTGCAAAACTGAGATGAGATTGCTCCTGTAGATCAAACAAGGTTTCATAAGCATCCATTTAGTCTTTAATGATAAAATTTTATTAATTAGTTGGTATCAATAATTACGGAATGTTAGGGGTTTTGGGGTTTTGGGGTTTTGGGGTTTTGGGG